TGCATAACAAGCCATTGCCCATTTCTGCTGGAATTGAGGTTCAGGAGGAGTCTACGACCACTGACAAACGGGTGGCATTTGCTCCTGAAGGTGGCATTTTCAACGATGATGAGCCAGCAGGTGAGCTTGTTCAACACGTGCCTTCTGCTGGTGTTGCCTCTGGACGCTCTTCCTCTTCAGCTGTGCCAGTAGGAGATGTTGCAATTGAGATTCCTCAGACTCCTGATGTTTTTGCAGGTCTTCCAGCAACACCACGTACAGAACCAACAACACGATTGCATGATGTCGATACACAAGAAGATCATGAAGCCAAACGTGCCAAAACTGAAAGCTTGAAGAAGCAGCGCATTGAACGCATTGCTGCTGAACACGCTGGAATGATTCGAACTGTCAAGATTTCAAATGAAAGTTTTCATACCATGGATGAGTACAGCCAAGACCTTCAGTTGGATGATCACTTGGAGGATGATGCTTGGCTTGGAGAAGAAGAAATCAAAGGCGATGGGATGCCTTCAGATCTTTGGAATTCTGGCAGTTTGGATCAACAACCGGCACAACCACCAGCTTGGGTGGACAGATTGGCTGATGAAGTTGAGTTGAAACGTTTTGTGAGATGGGAGTTTTGTCAGATGATGTGGCAAACATCCCACCAGAAGCCAATAGCCTCACGACCAAATTTGTGTATGACCGGCGTATCAAGGAGCGTGTAAACAGTGATGGAACAACATCCAAACAATGGTTGCACAGATCTCGGCTGGTGGCCAGGGAGTTTGCATTCCTTGAGTAAAGAAGTGACACGTATGCGCCAGCAACCTCCACACACATCCTCAATCTACTTGCCATGACCTACCTCCAGAAGCTTGCAGATCTTTCAGAGATTGGAGCTGATTCAACAACAACTGGTGTAGTTTTGGGAGCAGTGGATGTCAAAGACGCATTCCTCATGGTTGAGCAACCTTCACCAGTCATGGTGACACTGCTTGGGAAAACACACTGGGTGAAGCGCAATTTGCCTGGTCAAAGGCTTGGCGCAAAGAGCTGGTATTGGCACTTGCGTCAGTTTCTCATTGACAAGCTTGACGTGATGTTTTGCGTTGAACAGCCGTGCATTGCCCAGAACGACAGGTGTTGCATTGTTGTTCATGTGGATGACATCTTGTTTTGTGGAGATGAACAGTATTGGCGTGAGACTTTCCTCAAAGAGTTTGCCAAGGAGTTGAAGATCAGTCATTCAGAACTTCAGGGTGTGGGCAGCGAAATCAGTTTTCCCAAAAGAACCATCAGAAGCTTGAGCAGTGGACTTGCGTTGATACCTGGTACAAGTGCTGGCAAGGTCATTGAACTTTTCGAGTTGCACTTTGGAAAAGCGCGCATGCAAACAATCCCATGCGACCAGTCCATCCAGTTCGAAGACGTTTCCAGTCCATTGAATGCCAAAGACACATACCATTTTGGGTCAGTCATTGGCACATGTCTGTACCTGGCCCGAGATCGTCCAGATCTTTTGTTTGTGGAAAAAGAGCTCAGTGGTTCAATGAGTTGCCCTACCTTGACATCACTTCAACGTCTCAGAAAGCTTGTGGGGTATTTGAAGATGACATCAGACATTTGCTTGGTGTTGGAGAAACCTCAGCCTGGACAAGGACGTTGGAAAACAGTGATCGATTTTGGATTTTAATTTTGGAGAGCTTCAGTGATTCAGATTGGTCATCCAACCAGAGCCGTAGAAGATCCACAAGCAGCGGCATGCACATGTTGAATGGATGTTTCTTGTTTGGAAGCAGCAGGATTCAGAGAGTCATCAGTTTGAGTTCATGCGAGGCAGAACCGCATGCGCTGGTGTCAACTTTGTGCGATGATTTTTTCTGAGGATATGCCTCGTGTTTTTGACAGGAGCTGTGGTGGACCATTTCCTTTTTACAGATTCCCCAAGTGCTCGACAACTGTCAATGCGGCAGGGCGCTGGCAAAATCAAACATCTTTCTGGCAAGATTCTCTGGATCCAGCAGTGGGTGATGGAAGGTAAGAACGTGCTTGTGCAGGTGCCAACGCTTTGGACCTTTAAGACATTGGCACGAAACCACGTTCTGGTCAGAGGATGAATCTTCTCATGCACGAGTTGAACATGGCCCATGGAGATTGCTCTGCGTTGGTTGGAAAGGATGAGTTTGAAGAGCAGTGCCAGCGACATGGCCATGGGAAACAGGTGACAAAATCGGCCAAAGCCGTGGCTCAAGTCATGCTTCTTGCGGGCCTTGAGTCAAATGGTGTTGCAGGAATGGTCTTGGACGATGAGGTCCAATGCCCAGTAGAGCCCAATGTCAACAACAACAGTGTTGAGACAGGAGGAGCTGTGGCATGGCAATTCTTCTTCTTTTTCATGGTGCTTGGATTGCTGGTTTTCTTGTGGCGCTCTTTCAGAATGGCCAAAGATGCATTCGGCAGTTTGGAACATCTCTGCACCCAGCATGCCATTTTGGACAGCGCCTACAATCAACTGCAGAATCGATATGAAGATTTGAAGAAACAACATGAAGAATAAGGGTGCCGGCTGTCTCGCCGCCCCCAGAAGGTCCAACGAGTGATTTCTCTTTGTTTTTTTGAAATTTGCTTCTCGCTGTGGTTTCGGAGTGATTCACTGTCTGTTTCACCTGAACCAGGGCTTCAAATTCATTGCGTTTTCCAAGGCTTTTTGTTCCTCTTTTCAAATGTACTGTTTTTTTCCATGTAAACAAAGTTTTTTTTTTAAAGGTCCGAAAAAAAAGTTTATTTTTTTGATTTTATGCAGTAGATATACATATACACGCACATATATATATATATATATATTTATATGTATCTATCTATCTATCTATCTATCTACCTACCTACCTACCTACCTACCTACCTACCTACCTTACAACAAACGTTAACATGCCCCACCCCACCCCAACCCTTCAGTTACGTAGCATTGCAACATGTGTGCACATTGCAACGAACGTTAACATGCCCCACCCCACCCCAACCCTTCAGTTACGTAGCATTGCAACATGTGTGCACATTACAACGAACGTTAACATGAACCACCCCACCCCAACCCTTCAGTTACGTAGCATTGCAACATGTGTGCACATTACAACGAACGTTAACATGCCCCACCCCACCCCAACCCTTCAGTTACGTAGCATTGCAACATGTGTGCACATTACAACGAACGTTAACAAGCCCCACCCCACCCCAACCCTTCAGTTACGTAGCATTGCAGCATGTGTGCACATTACAACGAACGTTAACATGCCCCACCCCACCCCAACCCTTCAGTTACGTAGCATTGCAACATGTGTGCACATTACAACGAGCACTAACATGCCCCACCCCAAAAATAGCAACCCTCGTGGGGGCGGCGAGTCAGCTGCCTACCAAGAACAACGAGGGCTGGTGAACATCCTCAGGCGATGTTTGAATGAACTTGAGGGGAACCAGGAAATGCTCTCAGACCAATTTCAAGGATTCCATTACGGGGTGATAATGCTTGGAGGGTATTGCAACAATTCAGAACTTACTCCACAGCAGCGCCAGCAAATGTACAATGTTGAGCGTGCAAATCTCGTTGCTGCAAGGACCATGGGTGCCAACCGCTTCATGGCGACAGTCCTTCAACAAAATCGTGGATCAGCAGCTGGCGGTGATGATACTGATCCAGCTACAATGGAGGATGACGAAGGTGGTGAGAGCGAGCATCCACGTGCCTCAGATCCCCCAGTGGCTGAAGTTGGTGGAGGACAATTGGTGAGCCTTACCCAGGTCCACGAGACGCTTCGAGGTGAGCTCAATGCATTTCTGGCAAGAGAGATGTGGGCAGACGCTGAATTGGTACAACAATCAATTATGGTGCTGCTGGAACAATTGAATGGAGCCCAAACTCTTCAACGTGGACCGCGCGTTCAGTTGATTCAGAGATTGGGTGGCAGGATGGAGATCATTGCCGGTCGACAGCGGCAACATGGAGAAATTTTGGTTGCAAACCGCTTCCAAGGCTATGCAGACCAATTGAGAACTGGAAGTCGTAATGGCAAAACAACTGGTGGAGACTGCGTGCAGAGCTTTGTGCATTGGCGGTGGAAAAACAAAATGTTTGAGGTGGAAATGTGTGCAGTTGGCACACAACTCCAAGGAGGAGTGCAAAACATTTGGGTTTGTACTCATGGCAGTTCACATGGCCACTGCACCAAGGATGACACGCACAAATCAGTTTGCAGTTCAGTTGGATTTCACATTCATTCACATGTCAAATGACATGGATTCTCAGCGGGCCCGTGGTTCAAAGAAAAGGGGCGCCGTTGCGCCCGTTGATTTTGCAGTTTCGGTTTTGCATGGATTTCCCTGGCAGGGGAGTTTACCCTGCGTTTGGTTTCCCCGACGTCTGTGGCCAGTGGTGTTTGTTGAAACAATTGGGTGTGCCTGATTTCACCAGGTTTGCGGGTTTGACTGTGGTGTGGCTTCTGGAACACAACATTTTTCTCTGGTTGTGAAATTTCTGGGCGGACGGAAAGCACAGTGAAACGTAGTGTTTTGTGGTAACATGTTCAGTTTATCGAATGTGTTGAAACGGTAGCATGTTGAGGTAGCATGTTCATTTCATCGAATGTGTTGAAATCCAAGTGCATAGTTTTGTTTTGATGGGAAAACGCTCAATTTTGTCTTTGGGCAACTCGGCAACGTTGGTGTTGTGGAACCAGGTTTGTGTCACCATCGCAATCACCATCGTCAACATTTTTAGAATGTTTTAGCCGGTTCTTGTCGGGTTACGTTTTTAATCCATGTTTCACGAACAAACACCCACAATTTGTTTCTGTCAAACACCAGATTGTGACTGCCGTTGTTTGGCTTTGTGAGCGTAGCGCAGCCAATTTTGCATGTGGCGCTTAGTGCATTTGGTATTCATGTGGTCAGTTTTTGCAACGCAGCATCCAAACAAAACAAACGTGGTCAATTTTGGTGAAATATTTTGCAATTTTTTTCACGTCAATCATCTTGGCACGATGTCGACAATTGAAGCTTGGTACATGGCTGCTCGGATTCATTTTCCATGGATGTGTACAAAACCGGGACCAACATTTTCTTGTCGCCGCATTTTGAGGAAACACGCCACTTTTGTTGCGCAGGTTTCACCTTGTCCTTGAATGAAACACCAATCTTGTTGGTGATATGGGGCATCACCAATTCCAAAGGATTGGCCCAATTTTTGCCATTTTTTGGTGACAATTTAAACGTGTACCCAAGTCTTGGACATACCCATTACGGCCCATACCCCAATTGTTGGTGATATTTGGTATGTTTTGTGGTTTCATTTTGTTCGATCCAAGGGTTTCCCAAGTCGAAACTCTGGGTAAGGTCAACAATGTCACGGATCAGACCGCCGAGAATCGCATGGATCCAAATAAACCGGTGCGCCACCTCGAAAGGAATCTACAGAGATGTCGAACCCCCCTTGGATCCTCAGAACTCAATATAGTGATATAGTTGTTTGGCTATGGAAAAAATTGCCCATTTAAAGATGAATATAATACACCTATTGATCAAAATGTGATTTTACGCATCTGTCTCGTTTTTGTTCATTTACTGGAGAAACATTGTTTTTCACAACCCAATTATTCGGAAATCAAACTGTGTAGCTTCGTCCCAAAGAAACACTTTGTGTCTCCAAACAACAGAAACAATTGACATTCGGATATAATCTGAACACATTCAATCTATAAAAAAATTGAACATTGTGACAAATTTGGAAACAATTGGATCCATGATGAAATTTAGTAAAACCGCACTAGTTAATAGTGATAAACGGAGCCTTCATTTTTTTGTGAACTACTAACTACAGGAATATAAATCTCATTTTGGAGCTGTTTGATAATTATCCATTATTTTTTCCGAAACCCAAACAGCGACATTTTTTGGGTCAGGTGACCCTATCGGACTTGCGTGATCTGGGCGTCCTGCATTGGCACCTTCCTCCTTTGTCGGACTATCCGGCGAAAGCGGTTCCGTGGGAACCGCAGGGAATCCAGGACTGGGGATGAGATGTCAATAGCGACATCCCCTCTGGTTATGTCAAAATAACTATTGAAAATGGCCATTTATAGTGGGTAAACTAACAGTTTGCGACATTGAATAGCTGGCCATAGTTAAATAGTTGATTTTCCCAGCTACATAGCATGGTGATTTTAACCATAGTTATGTAAACGTTTACCAGAGGGTAATATATGTGAGATAATAGTTGGAATATATGAGAACTTAAGCAGCACAATAGAGATTGGGATTAACTATCGGCTTTAACCAACCAACTATAGGGATCGGGAGATACTGGGGATACCGTGTCTGAATATTTGGGTGTGTCTGAAAATGGGCTATATTTTCAAATGGTACTTTTCATTGCTATGATGATGAACCATGGGATTTGGGGTTTCACTACTGACAAAAGCGAGTTATGATGGCCTCACCGTAAACTTACGTGCTGTAAAAAATAGCAGTCGGAACGTGCGCGAATTTCAGTGAACGAAATTCGGGGCGCTTTTGGAACATGCCCAAAACAACGGGCACCAGGTTTTGCAGGTAGTTGGGCATGTTTTCTGTTTTTTTTTTTCATGATTTTCGGTTTACGTGCAATATCGTCGACGGAAAACATATTATTGTTTCATCATCGATTAATGGCAGATGTCACGAGAAACAAACTAACTATATATATATAATTATATTATGTCCTGCAAAAATTGTGGGAAACATCATCATGTAATGCAAACCATCATTTCTATTGTCTTGAAAAAGAAAAACAGGATTTATGAACATGATCATAGAAAGCTCATGCAGGACAAGGAACTGGCCAAAATCCGAGATTCGCGTGGATACAACTACGCTGACATCATTACTTGTTCAGAGGCGGGACAAAAACTGTAAGTTTTTGTATGTGTTTTAGGAATGATCGATTATATACTTCAGATACCCTCAATTTCTGATCAAACCTCAAAACGAACATTCTCTTTTTGGAATGGGTTGCGTTGCATTTGGCCATCTTTCTGCATAAATTGGTGATTGATGGTTGCTCAGGAGTGCTTACCGGACTACCACAACAAGTTGAAAGCTTTCTTTGAAGAACACATCCATTCCGATGAGGCTCCGGCACTTCGGTTGACCTTGCAGAGAAGCGCCTGGGTTTCACCGTCGTCCTCGAGGGAACCCCTAACTTTCGCCCAAGGTTTGCTGGTGACCAGGTCCAGTTGTTTTCCAGTGGCATTTCCGATGGCAGGAAGTGAGATATATCCTCAAAGGCAGTGGTTACTTTGATGTCCGGGACCGAAAGGACTGGACATGGGCAGTTGGGCGCTGCCTTAGCCAATGTACCCAAGATTCAGCTATGAATTTCGCCAAAGAATCCCTTCATCTTTGGCATTTTGATGCACCGGGTGGCGTTTAAAATTGGAGGAAGCCTTGATGAAAGCAACTACAACTAGGGATTCCTGTTCCCCAGCATTGATTTTCACACCATTTGCACCAAGCACACAGAAAAATATGGAGAACACCATGGGTTTCGATGATTTTCCATGGCTTTCCTGTAAGGAATCCCAACCCATTCTTGGTGGTGGAACTTCACAGGACCGGTGGATTCGCATCAAGCTCACTGCTGGTGACCTCATCGTTTTGCCCGAAGGCATTTATCACAGGCGAGAAACTCAGGTTTTTTTTGCAGCCGAGATTCCACAGATTCCACAGATTCCACAGGACGCCTTGGGTTATGATGGGTTATGTTATATTTATGTTATATTTATGTGGCTAGTTGTCCAAGATTTTCCAGCACCTTCAACCATTTCATATATTCAAAACATGGTGAGGTTTGTTGGCCGAAGCTGCTTGCGAGGTTCACCATGGACTCCAAGAATTTCACCCAGGCAATGCGTTTCTCGGCTGACGATTGGCTTAGATAGGTTACCCAAAAAAAAGAGTCCAAGAGAGTATAAATTAATGAAGTACTAGAAAGTTACCAGCCCAAAATTACTCAACTTGGGATTTGTTGCAAAATCGTGGATCAACATTACAACCATTGGTTTTGCATCAGTCTTTTCCCAAACTTCGAGCTTTTTCTCACCCGACTGAGGGCTCTTCAAAGGCGTTCCCGTGTGGACGCCAATCAACCGCCCAGCAGATAGCCACCTTAGCCGCGAACGCTACCTGCAGCGATTTCAGCCGCTGGAAGAGGAACAGACGTTGAGGTCGACCATTGTGACCCTTGGCGCATCGTTTCCAAAATGGGGGATGTTCCCTGCAAGAATGGTGGACTTCTGTGGATTTGGTGGAAGTTTTCCCGTTTTTTCTTTTAAGAATCCAGGAAACAATTGGATCCAGCAAAAATTGGGGATTTCAAAATTTCACCCAGAATGAGGGGACATTTCGCCAACCATTGGATGGGGTTTTTAAAGGGGATATATTCTGGCAGATAACCAACAAATTCTGGCTATCAAATCATTGGTAAGCACCATGCCAAGGAAATGGGCAGGTCCGCCCAATGCCCAATTTCACACCTTCCAGAGGTTTCTATTTCTCATCGCAATCTGAAAATAGGAGACCCCCAAAATCCAGTGGTTGATACTTATGTTGTTTTTCCGCAACCTTGAGGACAAACATCCATCTATCATCTTGTCAGGTTAGGACAACTCATAGTGTCTGTGACTAACTGCAACCATTAAGATTCATCAAGTATGTTTGGAACTATGTTTTCTTCATTTCATACTATTACTTGTTTTACAGTAAGTAACAATATCATATCATTATTCTTTTATTACAACCAATGTGTGTATATATATACACGTTATCATCATCATTATCATTATTATCACTACACATTCTAGATATAACGTTTTTTTTTAAATATAATAGAGCTATTATTTGCCTACAGTTCTAATCATCAGTACCATCATCCCCCAAATATTCGAACTGTAGTCCAATAATAGTTGATTGAATTGATTTTTTTTATGATGAATATTTTTTGCTGTTGATGATGAATATGAATTGAATATCCAATGATTCCCATCTTCCAACCATCATCTGCCCATTTTTTCACCAAGGAGCTGCCTTCGCAGCTTCTTCCAGCAGGGCTGGTGCCTGGGCTCCTCAGGTGCCATGGCCTGCCGCGTGGCTTCTGCGACGGCTGCGGCAGGTGCGCCGATGCTGGTGACGCCCTCGGGGGTGCCCAAGGAACAGCTGGAAAGTGAGGCGCCCGGGGGATGTTTGGGGGACGAAAAAAGGGATTTCACCAGGAATTTTCCATAGAAAACCATAGGTGATTCTTGGAAGTTGATGAAAAAACGGTGTTGGAGGTTGTTTTTTTGGTTCTCATTGAATCCCCATCAAAACCCATTCAAAATCCATTCAAAAACCATTCAAATCTATTAATCTGTTGATTTTGAAACCTCACGAAATCTCATTCAAACCACCATTAGACCACTATTTTCCACTCTTCAGGACCTTTTCCTGGTCGCGACCACTGGAGAACTGCTGAAGATCCCCAGCAGGGCTGCCAAGGTCTCCGACAGTGCTTCGGTCTTTCAGGCCGTCTTCGATAGGAGGTGCGTGGGATGGTACACCGGTTGACCCAAAAAAAAGTGGGAGGATTCTACCGAAGACAAACAGGTTTCCATAGGTTTCCCATTCAGTTTACCATAGTTTACCTCCATTTCGGCACAGGAGCGACGTGACAGCTGTATGCCATATTCACTCTGTGGCATCGGTGCTGGCGACTGAAAATCAGGAGGTGCACTGGCAGCTCAAAACCGAGGGTTTCAGCACTTCCAGAGGTGCTAAACAGCTGGCAGTACATGTTTTGCTACATGTTTTTCAAAAGCCCGATGGCCCCGGAGCCAAAAATATTTTGGCATCCGGAGTAACCATCCATGGCTCACTTGGAGGTGCTACGAGTGAGAGGAACTGAGATGATTAAAGGCGGGGGCCAGTTGTGATGTGATTCCACTTGCCCCAGAATTGGTTTGAAGATGTTTGAAGGTTGTAGCCACTTTGGGATCGTCGAGTAACCGTTGATTCACTCCAATATCAACCCAGGCTTTTTTTTAAACCCATAGTTTAACAAGTTTAATAATTGGGAGGCTATCATTTACGTTTTGATATATATATATAATATAATATAATATAATATAATACAATATAATATAATATAATAGAATATAATATAATATAATATAATATGATATAATATAATATAATATAATATAATATATATATATAGATAGATATATTATATATCTTATATGGTTTTGTCTGAAAATGGGATGTACCCCAGCCATTTTGATTGGGAAGATGATGATTCACCAGCAAAAAGTAGGCCTTGGTGTGCCCGGTGATGGAGTGCTTGTGGTTCCCATCATCGACAATAAGGCGGGCTGAACGATGCTATGATCCGGGCGATGATCGGACTACTACAAGGTAGTGACCTTGACCAAAAACATTGGATTTCGTGGCATTTCATGGGATTGAACTAGATGATTTTGGATGATTTTGGATGATTTTCGGCTTTTCGAAATCTCATCCAGGCCTTTTCAAAAACTGGTGAGACAAGTCCTGGTCTTTGCTTGACGCGGAGGCCACTGAGCCTGAACTGGTTCCAGAGCTGCTGCGGGTCTTGGAGAAGTATCCCATGGCTCCTGCTGTCTTGGTACGAGAGCCTTGGATGACATGAGAATTCAGATATCTTGGGAACGGTCAAGAAAACATGATCCAACATGTAGATATCACCAGCAAACATGCAGGTTAAAAATCCTCAAGAACAGTGTCACGAAGGGTTTTTGAACAGCAAATTTGGGGTTATGTCATGTTATGTCAGCATAAGCCACCAATTTTTTCAGGTCCTCCCAAGCCAGTAGACCTCTCCCATGGTATGGTGCCACCAAGGATCATGGCGCCTACATCTTTGGCAGTTCCGCGGAGATCCGTGGTACATGACGGGAGATGTGAGGAATGCTGGGGACGGATCAAACCCCATCATATTGGTAAATCCCAGCTATTTTGGGGGGATCCAAAAAGGCTTTTGACCTGTGGCTTCGAAAAATCATGTCTGCTTTTTGAAAATTAATCCGTTCCTCAAGTAGGTGCATTAGTCTTTGGGCAGAGACTGCGAGGGCTTGAGCTTATTAACATGATTTGGGCATAAGGAGAATTCTGGTACACCTGACATTTTCATAAATTTTGCGTTTTCCTTGAACCGTTAATTGCTATGGGATTCTCCTTTGGTATCCGGAAACTTTCTCGCTGCCAATCCCAGGAAGGCGAAGATTGCCACGGAGTGCTTGGGTTTCATCTTAGACTTGGAGATGAGGACCAAGACCTTGTGATCTGCCAGGATGTGGAAAATTCGGTTCCAAATTTGATCCATCCATCCCTTCATGTCCAAGAGGAGAAAACGGAAACCATCCCATTGTTGGTTTCTAGAAGTTTTTGGAGGACGCATTGGATGATTCATGATGATTCAGTATCCAACAATATCAACAATGGCCAGAAAGTACATCCAATTTCCTCTGCAGGAGAGGCCGCACCGAAGCTTTGGAGGCGAAGAACTAAGCGTTTTCGTGCTCTGGATTCGGGTTGCAGAAATCGAACTGCTTGGGGTGGAATCTCTGCAATTCTCTGCAAATCTCCAGTTCTGTTGATTTCCTTTCCCAGTATTTTTTCGATAGTTGGATGTAGCTCTTTTTTTGGGTTGATCGTTTCAGCTATATGAACAGGATCCCGTGATTTCAGCTATTGAAAATTGGAGCCTGTTGGGTTATATTAAGTTTTTTCCTTCATTTTTTTTCGGTTCTACCAACAGGCTCCCCTGAAACGTCGCCGCTGCGGCCCCTCGGTGGTGCTGCTGGATATTGAGGGAACCACCACACCCATTTCCTTCGTGAAGGCAGGGGGGATTTCAGCAATATTGGGAGATTTCGGCGGGATGCAAAGATATATAAGAACCAGCTTAATATGATCCATGGGTCTCTTGAAATAGGGTATATTCCCGATAGTGGCTATGAACATAGGGAACATATGATGATTCACATTTTGGGGTACCGTGGGTATACCCTATTTGCAGACAAACTCCCTTTTTGGGCCGATGGAGGGAATGGAAGATAGAACCCAAAAGCGGGGCAATTTCACCGACCCAAGCCACCTACCTGGACGCTGATGATTGTGGACAAAAGAAACAGATTTGCAGGATGTCATATCTCTTCCATTTTTTTGGCAAAAACTGCAAGGTCTTAGGCATTTGTGGCATATATGGCTACATAAAAAGTGTTCCCGGCTCCACGAATCGCGGAGCGCAGGACAAACTGTTTCCCTATGCTGCCAGTGCTGTCGCATCCTGGGTGGAAACTGCTGAGCTCGCAGAGGTTGCCCGGGACTACGAGAAGCAATGCAAAGAGGTGGGATTTTGGTGCCAAAAATGGGTCAAAGTAGCGCGAGGCTCGGTGTTTGCGAAGTCTCTATGGTTTTTTTCAGGAAAAGGTGGTTTTGGATACCAAAATGGTCCCTTTTGGCAAGGAAAACGGTGATAAATCCATAGACTGTTCTGCAGAAAGGGTGCCCCAAACCAGCCCAAACCATTGGGTTTTCCCATGGCAAGTTTTGGAGTTTGGAGTAGTGCCAGGACCAGGTGCCTTTCAATGCAGCAGCTCCCAAGGAGGAAGTCCTTCGCTTGACCAAGGTCCCATGGTGATGGCGGGAGTTGCCCAACATCCCTGGATAGTGAGTGATGATCCCTACGGTATATTACGGTATTATATACACACATATACTTACACATATTGGGTATGGGTCAATACCCATAGATATATTTTTAGTGGGATGAACATCCATTTACCAGCTATTTTGATGTTCACCAGGGGTACAAGGTTTTGACACACTGCCATATGTTTTATGTGACCTGATGTATTTGAACGTTCGGAATGTGGAATTTTTAGTAAAGTCTATATGTACCTGTCACTTTTGATATCAGTATAGCAAACCGCAGCCTTTTTTTGGGCGAGACTACAGCTGCATAGGCAGCACTTGGATTGCGAGTGCCGCATGAGGTTGTGGTGTCCAATTCTGTGCAGTTTTTTCCCTTCGAAAAATGTTTTTCCCTGCATGCTGATGATGATTTGCATAAACCAGTGATCAGGTTGCGTTTCCAGAAACTTGGAGTTCTGACCACTGTGCCAGGAGTGGATTGCCAAAGACAGGAAAGTGCCAGCGCTGAAAGATCTTCAGGCGTCCAGTACTCGAACCTCATCCTTTGCGTATGGCTGCATCCAAAACAGCTTTGAGCTTGAAATAGATTCACCATTGTGCGCTCTATGCAATGAGCGTGAAACCATCTTGTTTTTTTGGTGGTCAATAGTCCTTACACATTGACACACCCCTCAGTAGGTATTTGCTCCATATTTCAAGTGGTCACCCCGTATCATTTTGCTGGTTATACCCCATGATATCTCATTAAACTATATATATCGCAAATCTATCCCCAGTATGGCTGGTTTCATACCCATTTTGGGCTGTTGAAATCCCCATTTTCTCTTCAAAAAGTGCTGAATGGACACAGGGAAAGCTCTGGAAACACGGCTATGAGCGTGGCGAGCTAAAGGGCGAGATGTTTGAGGAGTCGCGACGTTTCTTTTTTTTTAAGCCCATCCCCCATTCAACCAGGGTGTTTTTTGGGGGAATTTCAACATCAAGAATCAAAAATTTGGATTTCATGGTCTTAATGCGACTCAATGGGGTAACCATGAAAAATGGGTGGTTTAAGATACCATGGTTTAACAATCCTAAAATAGGGGATAATGAAGGGTTTCAAACCATGAAGCATCGAGCTTAGCTTGATCATGTTTGTGCTTGGAGATCCGTTTACTCTTCCTCCAGACAATACCTTGATGGTTACTGTATTATTGTTATTATCATCATAACAATAATATCTACAATTATATTAATGTTATTATTATCATATTATTGTTATTATCATCACTTATCATCCATGTATTATATACAGATAATAACATTAATATAATTGTAGATATAACAATAATATAACTTTGTTGGGCCAGTTCTCTACAGCATCGCGGATCCAGTTTGCTTCCCAGGACACCCCACAGGCGATGGCTCAGTGGGTGGCCGCTGGAAAACGCCTGGCGATCTTTTCGAGTGGCAGCCGGGAGGCCGCCACGTTGGAACAGTGTTGGGAGGTCAACTTAGTCACATTCCAAAATGGCAACTTGATTTTGGATGATTTTTTTTGGGGATGGTCACCTGATAGATTTTGATGTCTAGTGATTTTTGACTCATTCTGAATTTCTTTTTCATGATGTACAGAAACTCTTTGAGCTCTTGCAGTTCGTGCTTCCTGATTTTGGATCATTACCTACGCTATTAATGGTGAGTGTCTTTCAGAGGCGTCAATATGTTGGTATCACGAAATGATGCCATGAGATATCGAAGATCCCTGGCAGTAGGAAGGTGAAACATTTGGACTTTAGGCCTTTAGGCAGTGTTCATTTTGTTGGGACGACATGCCGTTGCCTTTTGGCTTTGGGACCCTCCAAATCGGAATGTGAAACCGGCAGGCGCAGCGGCTGATCTTTAAGTACACCCATCAGGGTGATCTCAGCTGCTTCCTCTCGGCCTACTTCGATCCCAAATCGGCTCAGGATCTGACCCGGTGGAGTGATGGGACCTTTTATTCATTGATTGGGTTCCCAATCAGAAAGCATTTCCCAGCCGATTTCTCCAACATTCCCAGCCCAGCCGAGCAGTTTGAAAGATTCCCAGGCCTCGAAGCAGGAAGCGAAAGCCTACGCGGAGATTGCCTTGTCCTTGGGCATCGAAGCCACTGAAGGCAGTGAGACGGCGCCTATTTCGTTTATGGTGGAAGAAAGTGAAGTACAGCAGAAATTTATTGGAAGAAAGGTCCTGCTGTTTGTTGAAAACCTGGAGAAAGGTAGAAGGGTCTTACTGTCTTACTGTCTTACTGTAATTTCTCAAACTCGTCTGAGTTTGTTTTCCAAGGGTCGCTGATGCCCACATGAAGGGATTTTGCAGCCAGCTTGGATTACAGCACGGAGATGCAGCTTGAGCTTGGCTCATTTCATGCCGGCAAGATGAGATCTTAGGCACAAGGGATGAACTCGGATGATCTACATGATACAAGAATATACAAACTACATTCGGTTTATTGATATTGCACAAAGTTAAGCAAACATGATGGAGGATCCTTGTAGATGTGTGAGGAAAGGAATGCTTTACTGAAAGATGGTCATCCACTTTGATGTTTGATCAAGATTATCTTGTGGCCATGGTGCCGAAAGTTGTTCATGTGGAGTGTGCTTGTTGTGGAGGAGTCTCCACATGCAAGGCAAAGAACTATCGCAAGCGGGTGCTGTACCATTCCAGCTGCCTGCAAGGAAAACATCACAAGAATGTTTTCGAACGCTATGCGCGTCGATGTCATCACATGGACCTGGTGCAGTTGCAGAAGTATACCTTCCATGTGGCCTCATGGATTGCCAAACTGCCAGCTGCACAGATGAGCCAAAAATACGGCGAGTTGTCCGCAGTGACGTTGTTAGTGAAGTACCTGGAACTTCTGAAGGAGTCATCGAAACCTCTGTGCCATCAACTGACTAAGCTGCTGACCAAAGTCTTCGCGCGGATCACTGAGGACCTAGTGGATGTGCAATGGGTCAACCTCCGGGAGGCCCTGGTGGTTCTGTTGCCACAGCTTCAGCCCCAGCCATCCTTAGATGCACCCGACATGGCACTGGCGGCAGGTCGTTTGACCAAGGCCATCCAGGTCTGGCGGAACACCACTGCTGACGACAGGGCCTCCTACGTGGCGCGCTTGGAGGAAGCGCTGCTGCACGCTGTCGACCCCTCCCGGCTGCGGCAGATCTTCCGGCGTGCCGTGGCAGCGTTGTCCCCGCCGCGAAGGGTGGGCCGGGATGGAGATGGTGGCAGGGATGCGGAGCTGACAGGATCGGATCTGCAACGTCGATTGCGAAAAGTGGTCCTTGGATGTTTGGATCAATTGGATTTGACGGATCCGAGATTAAAACCATCTCTGCAGTTGCTGGAAATCTTGATCCAACGCTTTCAGGAACTTGTTTCGGAAGATCACCTGGTTGCTTCAAGCCGTCACTGGGCTCAGCTGGAGTCGAAGTGTGGCATGGCGGAAGCTGACAGCGCGACGGCCCCGGAGACTTCTTTGGAACTTGTCAAGACGAAGAAGAAGAAGAGACAGCGCAAGCGCTGTAAGCATGGAGTGCGACATGAGAGCTGTAAACACTGCAAACCTTGCCCACATGGCAATCCGAAGTGGTCCTGCCGTTTGTGCCATGGCTGTCCACATGGCAAGAGGAAGAATCACTGTGTTCTCTGCAGTGGGTGCCCACATGGCAAGCTCAAGCACAACTGCAACGAGTGCACTGGTTGTCCGCATGGAAAATTGAAGAAGAACTGCTTGTTCTGTGATGGCTGTCCACATGGCAAGACCAGGAAGCACTGCGCAGCATGCAGCGGTTGTCCACATGGAAAGCTAAAGCACAATTGCCGTTTGTGTAGTGGGTGTCCCCATGGTCGCTTAAAACAAAATTGCGCACACTGCAGTGGCTGCCCACACGGCAAGGTCATTTACCTTTGCACTGAGTGCAAGCCCTGTCCCCATGGACAGATCAAGCGCAAGTGCAAGGAATGTTTGCGGTTCCCTCGAAGTCGCATCAGTGTTGGTGCAGCCTGCGAGGTCGCAAAAGACGGCGAATTTCATGCGGGGAAGATCACGAACTTGTTATAACTCGTGCTTAGTTGACACCGACAAACGGGGGCTGAAAGAAATCAAACGCAAATGATCTCAGGTTGTTTGGGACGTATTTGGAACCAATCCCTGCTGAACAACAACGTTTTGGTCGAAACTTCCTTGATTGAGAGAACACCACTAGGAAACCCAGATCTTTATGTGGAACATTGTGAAACAGTAGTTGAACCATATATAACCATAGTTTGCCTTGAACTTCCTGAAGCTAGCCCAGTCAGGCGATCAATTTTTGTCAGTATCCCTCGTTTGGTCACACTGACATCACCCCGGAAGCAGAACCAATTTGTGGACCAATTTGGTACCATGACTTCTGAAGATGTTGGATCAAGAATCTCTTATTGACACTGAATGATACCCTTGTCAGTTGATTTTTTTCTTGTGGTTCTCATTTTTTGAAATCATTAGGATTATCCTCTCAGTTGATATCTCCATGAATCACTACTGAATTCTCATGCCAGTTTACATTCCCCTTCAATCAGTCGCAACCCCAACAAAAACGCTAGTTTATATATATATAGTTTATTACTATTTTAGTATGAATTGATCAATTTCTATCTTCAGGGGGTTTAGTCTTTGGCATTATCTCTTGAACTTAGCAGCGGTACTCCCGCTGCTGTGGGATAATCCTTGGGACCTGGGATAGTTTATGAGATCCGAACATGTTTCATCATTCACCAAAATCACTCACCCCCAAAACTGACTAAGGATTGTTAACTAATTGTGTGTGATTAGTAATCAAAATCACTCAACAATCATTGTCCCAATTTTTGTGCGGGTTACTATAAACTAATCCTGTGAGGCCTCTTCTGCACAGATGTCTTGGGCGAAGCGCAGGCCGCCAGCAAGGTGTGACACCGGCGGAAGTGGCTGGCTCACCCAAAACCCATGGTGTTTTCTTGAAAATCCCATAGATATATTTTCCTAATATATCTAATATGTTTTTTCATAGTTGCCCAGGGTCTGTCCACAGGTTTTTCATAGTTAACCCCCAATCCCCGGCCGCCAGGCAGGCTGGAAGACGGTGCTCCTGAAACGTCCCGGCAACGCGCCGCTGCCGCCGCAGCACGGCTTTCGGGAAGCGACGTCGCTGCTGGACGTGTAATTTCCAGCTGGAAGCAGCTAGATTGGTATTATCATAGAATTGGATGAAGGGAAAATTTACAGGAAAGCCCTATATTTGATGGTAAAAACCCATAGGTTTCCTGTAAATTTTCCCCAACAAACCAATCCAATGAGTATTACCATTGGAGATAAATTACCATTGGACAAACATTGGATTCATTGGAAATTCATTGAATCAATCCAATGGGTTCATGAATTTTTTTGTTCCATTGGTATATTATCGAGACAGCCAATGAGATCCAGGTTATCCAATTCCAATGGATTCAGGGTCCATTTTCATCATCCGTTGAGGGAAGATTAGACCATTGTTGACATGTTTGGATGTTTAAGGATATGAATTCAACGGTGATTAGAATTGGTCTATATGAATATTAAGGGTTGAAATTTGAAGGATATGAATTCAAGTATTGGTGATTAAACCATATTAAACCTTGGATATTGGCGATCAAACATGATGTTTGAACAGTGGATATTGATGGGGATATTCAAATGGAAACCCTTTTTTGAACGAAAGGATGGACACTTGGGATTTGAACGTGATTTTTCAGCAACATCCAATGGGATAAATAGATGATTTTTCTGGATGATTTTGATGTTTACCTTCTGGTAGCTTGTTACATAGCTATGTTATAGATGACCCATTTAGTTTGCGGATTTACATATTAAACGTGGTGATTTGCCGTAGCCATGTCAATGATAAGAGGGTATGAATCATAGCTGAGGATTTCTCTGGAAGTTCGTTGACAAGGCTTCTCAACATGATTTTTTTGGGTCTCCCTATTTTGTGAGATTTCACTCATATATTTTGTTTGAATTTCGGATAAGACATTGTGTATTGTTGGTAGATGTTTCGCCTCTCATTTTGAGGAATCGCTTTTGTTGGACTCAGCTTGCGACGGAGGTCTGCGGTCCATCAAGTTTTAAAACCACAGATGTTGATGGATCTAGGGTCCAACGTAGGACTTGCAGTATGGAGAGGAAGAATCAATATCTGTAACCCAAATTGCAAAATGGACAGTCCAAAGTACCAGAGAAAAAATAGAATCTTCCTTTCTGCGCAGAACCCACTTGTCAGACTTTTGAAGTCTGAAAAGTCTGAAATCTTTTGCCAGTCACTCGGAATTTCTCGAGGAAAAAGATGTCTCCACCAATTCGACATTTTGTGCAGCTACAAGTAGCTTGGACACTTGTGAATCGGCAGAATGGTTGTTTGGAATTTCCCCTAGTCATGAAGAGCCCTGCTCTCTACATGCCCTGCCTGCATCGGTGGCCATTTCTGCAAAGCAGCATCCTATGAACTACCAAGTTGGTCGGGGAGATTGGAAAGCTCTCATCTCTCATCTCTCATCATGAAAATCTTTGAATTATGGGTGAATTATAAGCAACATTAAGCAACTTAAGGCCAAAGGTTCACACAGTTCACACTCATTTTTTTTCCTGCGCCATACTACCAGTCCTACAACTCGTCCTATAACTCGTCCTAGGCTTAACTGCTGAAATCGCGTCGTTGGATCCGTTGGGGATTCATCATGTAGACCATCACGGGTGGATCCCCATGGAGATGTGAAAAAATGATCCCCACTTGTGCAGTTCATAGCTGTTCATAGACCCATATATATCCACACAAATATCTTGCGACATAAAAACTCAAATTCCAAGAATTTTTTCTTCGCAGAATTTTCAATCGATTTGGATAGTGCACTTAATGTCTCCCAAACGTAGTTTTATTTCCAGGATATGTTGAACCATGCTGAAACTCTCCATCGTTCTGTTTGTTTTTGATGGGGCAAAATTAATGTCAACTTGACATGAATCAATCTGTTCTCCAATTTTTTTTTGCAGATCGTTTGGGAAATTTGCTCGAGGTCTGCTGCGACTGGCCTGGCGATATTTTTCCGACAGGGGTGCTGAAACGTGGCTGAAGCGAGCACGGCAGCCCAAGCTGTGGCCGATGGACCTCATTGTGCAGCTTTTTTTTTACGGAAGGTTCGTGTTGAGAGCCTGATGGTTCTCAGCTCGCCACGTGCTGAAGAGAGGTGTGGCCAGCCGACAGTTTTTCTGAGCCAGATGCTGTGTGGCGAAAAAGGCAGGTGGCCGGCTTTATGCAGCAGCCTTTGTGCAGGTCTTTTGTTGCGGTTGTGGCGATGTCCACGAAGTCGTTTGGGGCAGACCTGGAAGCAGTTGAGTGTCATTCGACCGCTTCACGGTCTACCCCAAAGTTGAGGCTGGTGATGCACACATTTTCGCTGCTATGGGCAATGCAAAGATGCAGCTTGCACCAGGCCCAGCGTTTGGGTTTGCTTCCAATGCGCGAGGCAATCAAGAAGGAGAAACCCAACAAGGTGTCGTGCGATGCAGATGAGCTGGACATCTACAGCCTGCATGACAGTTTGGCTGTTGTCTTCCAGTATCCACCGCACGATCCCTTGATTGACATTTACAGTCAAAGTCAACAGGAGGAGCCGTTGATTGTGCCAGCAACTTCTTTGCTAGTTGCAATGGCTTCAATGACCCGCCAGTTCGTGTTTAGTTCAGCCTTCAACTGCGCTTTTGGTGCAGGATGGAAAGTGGATTAGGGAAGAAAAGATGTCGGCAAGCCTTCGGGACATGTCCGAGCCCGGCGCTTGGCGTTTTGTTTTGAGCAGCTTTTGCAATGCTTCGGTTCAGATTGATGTCATTGTTTACAACTTTCTGATGTATTTTTGTTCTTTTGCCCGTTAAGAAGTAGTAGAAGGGTAAAAGGGCCAGCTGCAAGAGGCTTGGATGCTCGCAGCTCAAGGAACAGATGCAATGGTTTTCCTGAATGGGGCCCTCTTACTGGCTGCCCTTCCGGCTTATGCCCCGCTAAGAGAGCGGCACCAGCAGCGAAATTGTATGCCACTCATTGACAGCGGCTTCGCACCACCTAGCAGGGAACGACTGTGGCTGGGTCTTGAGACTTGTGTTGTCACGGAATGCTTGGTGGGAATCGTGGCACAAGCGAAATTGTTTCTTGGACAGGATCATTCACAGCCAGACGGCAGTTGTCTGTGGTGAATCTACGGCGGAGTTATGCAGCAGAGGTCAAAGTGCTGACGAGTTTGGACGGGAAATTTGAAGAAGCTGCTTGGATGACTTGGGCGCCAGATATCTCCGGCCATGAGCCAAGTTTTGAAGAGACAATCATGTTAGCTGCTGCAGCAAAAAGCAGTGAAAGTTCTGATGCGAGGGGCCAAGCCTTGGGGTTACTTTGGATGCTGCGTGAGCCGTGTGCGCCCCCAGTGCTCTTTCATGGGCGCTATGATGCTTCGCAAGCAGTGTCTTTGGGCCATAGCCTTGTTGCAGAGCCGTTTTTGGATGCAATTGTTGCTGGAGATTTGCCAGCATCGACTCTTGCCGTGCGTTGCCTGGGTGGACTTTTTCAGTGCTTGCTGCAAAACCAACGATGCAACAGTGAGTGGAGTATGTGGCCAAGCTTGGCAAAGCTCAGCGCGCCGCGGAAGAAACGGTGAAGGGATGACTTGCGAAGCCACCTGTGAAAGAGATGCAGAGCAGGAAAAAGGTGCACTCAGCAGCCGGGAGACGTTCTAAGTAGATCATAATACCTGGATCAGTGGACATTTTACATGGCAGTGTCATTGCAATTCTGGGACGCCATGGTCGGTCAATGGAGTCCTTTGGCTCAGTGGTTCGGTTTCCAATATTGATGATACATGTCTTGCCTTGTAGCTGGCATTCATTGAAACGAGTTGCATCATGGACTATCCAAACTAGACAAAACAGCTACAGAATTGCAGCACTGATGAAATAATTGCAACCTAAGAGCACCAATGACTGCACTCCAGTGTGACAGAGCAAGAGGTTTTCAAAGCCACTCATGAGAGCCAAGGGCTTCAGGACGTGTGCCGCATTCATGTGGGCCATCAATTGGGGGTCCTACACTTTCAAAACCAAAAGTTACACATTGGACACACGTTTCCAAATATCATATGAAGTTGGTATCCCAATAAAAATCCCCCATCTTCATGTAAGTGGGTTAAATCCCCCTTATATCCATTGTGGCATGGGAGATATCCAAGCTTTCTTTCCTGGATGGCCAGGATACAGTAGTCGAAGGCCAGGATGGCTCAGAATGTGCAGCTGGTGAGACAGAAACTCCGTTTAATTTTTTTTATACACATTACACATATATACATTCATGACATGACTCACCAGAGTTTTTTCTGCAACACTATAGACTATCGTTGATGAGGGATGAATATGGATCAATCAATGCTGGTGAAATCTCCACACGTCCCGAAAATTTCTGGTTGGTCGCAATTCCCAATTGTTGTTGAGCAACATTTGTTCACCATTGCTGACTCTAAAGTTTCTATAGGTTCTCAAATTTCCAACAGTCTTGCCAAGTTTTTTTTTGCAAAATCCGTTTGTTCGAGTATAGATCCCATGTATTTTTCAGAACAAAACCACATCCCACATTTTTCGTGAAGGGATCCCATGTATCAATATCCATATATATATATATATCCATATATACAACATACCCATATCATGTTTCCGAAGCAGATCATTTGAGGCCAAAGCGCCAAAGCGGCCACCGCCGAAAAGGGGCGGATGTGCGACCGTTTGGCGCGCCTTGCGAAGGCGGAGGTGAAGTTTGAGTCCGAAGGCGGACACGGTCCTGGAACAGCATGGAATTCCGTGGGAGGTGGGATATATATATATATATGTATACATACACAATAATATATATATATATATGTACACAATAATATATATTCACATTATATGTATTACATGTATTTTATGTATTATATGTATTTTATGTATTATATATGTATTTTATATGTATTATCATATGTATTATCATATGTATCATCATATGTATTATCATATGTATTATATATGTATTATATATGTATTATATATGTATTATATATGTATCATATATGTATCATATATGTATTATCATATGTATTATGTATGTATTACATATGTATTATTTATGTATTATCATATATATTATATATGTATTATCATATGTATTATCATATGTATTATATGTGTATTATCATATGTATTATATATGTATTATATATGTATTATCATATGTATTATCAAATGTATCATCATATGTATTATCATATGTATTATCTATGTATTACCATATGTATTATATATATATTTATATATGTATCATATATGTATTATATATGTATTACATATGTATTATATATGTATTATATACGTATTATATATGTATTATATATGTATTATATATGTATTATATATGTATTATATATGTATTATATATGTATTATATATGTATTATCATATGTATTATATGTGTATTATCATATGTATTTTATATGTATTATCATATGTATAATATATGTATTATATATGTATTATCATATGTATTATCATATGTATTATCATATGTATTATATATGTATTATATGTATATTACTAAATGTATTATATGTAGATTACTATTTGTATTATATGTATATTTTATATATGCATATTTTACATGTATATAATATATGATATATATATATTACATTAAATCCTAATTGATGTATATATATATATATTCTAATATATGATATTCTACCGTAGATGGACGAATTATTCAAACCCTTGTAATCCAATAACCCCCCGCACCCCCAATTACAATGTTGTTTTTTTTTTGTTTGGTTCGCTCCTTTGAATGGACGAAATAAATCAAACCCTAAGAAACCATAACGTTGAAATTTGGAGGGACAGGGGGTAGCCTACAACTCATGGATGCGGGGTTTGAATAATTTGTCCATCTACTGTAGTTGATTGATGTATATATATATATATTACATTATATTGTATCATATTATATTATATTCTATTATATCATATCATATTATATTATATTATATTACATTATAGTATGCTATAATATATTATCTTATATCTTATATTATCTTATATTATATTATCTTATTATCATATTGTATTATATCATACTATCTTATACATTTGTAAATACAAAACATTTTGGATCTATATTGTAGATTCCATGACGATAGATGATATATGGCTGTATGTATTATCTTTGATGTGAGTAGCAGAAGACCTTGTGACATGATTGTGTATGTAGCATGTTACAGACACACATGTATACATCGGTGCGGGATGTCAGAGGCAAAAATTACTAATTACTATGGTGAAATCACGTGACATTTCCGGTCATTGATGTCTGGTAAGACGAATAAAAAACCAATGGACATTTGGATCAGTTGGACGAATCCCCAGTGTCATCTTTCCCGCGGCTGCAAATCCACCATTCCAAAAACAACCATTGAAACTGCAGAATCTTCGTCGAGTTCCACCGAGCAATGCTCCAGCCCCGAGGTGCGGATTTTTGGATCCCGAGGATTTGGTGCTGCGAAATCGCAGATACCATCTGCTTATTTAACATAGCCATGGAAAATCACCATTTTTAATAGGTAAACCGGTAAACCATCTATAAATGTGCCATTGTCCATGGCTATGTTAAATAACCAGAGGATATACCAAATAAATACAGACAATAAATATAAGTGGGGTATAGGTTATAATGATAAACTAGAATTTAGCTATGATTTTTACAAGTTTATCATCACCCCCATGTGCTAGTGGCGAAAAATGGTGGTTGTGATGGGAATTTCCGTGAGTCATTTGGTGGGATATCCTTTAGGGCACTTTTGGGGGCATGGAAGTGCTGTGCTGTAACCGTGACTGCAGTCTGGATCAAGCTCGATGCTCCAGCAGTCTGAAACATACAGGAGAAGCAGTGTCACAGTAGATGGCAAAGATACTGGCTCCATACAGACAATGATCCCAAGCATTTTTGCCGTGTAAAGTGCCTTGCAGGTGACTCCCTTTTTGTAGGTTGAGTGGTTCCATTGAGGGCTCCGGCCCGCAGACGGGATGACGTGGGTTTGCATCATCCTGGGTTAACAGTTCGCGATGGATCATGACCCATTTATAATAGATGATCAACATGATGATTTACCTATGAAACATGGCGATTTTCCAGTTTTTTTCTACCTTTAAAACACACCAGGCCGGGTACCCGAAAAGCTATGGACGTCATCAAGGCAGAACACCTGAAGCGTCTCCGAGAACGAGAGGTGCCGGAGATTCCAATGGGATGTGAGGGTTTCAATGGGGTTAACACAATTACGATAAACAATGGGATTTGCCTCGTGTGATTTGCTGATGGGGATGGGATTTCCCATGATTTCATCTCAGATTTGGGATACAATTTTCCAAGAGTTATACATTCCAAAGAGGATGTATAGCCAACATTTGTTTTTTCCCAATACAACAACAACATGGGTTTGTCTGAAAATAGGGTTAATCTTCCCAATGAAATAGCCATTTAATAGGGATAATGATCAGCAAAACCATTGGGTAAAAAGGGGTACACGACATTTTCAGACACACCCACATATTCCATTGTTGTCCGCCGGATCGCCGATCCGCCAGGCGGGACGCGAAGTCTTCCTGCGGCCACTTCCCTTGGAGTCCACGGTGCGGATATTTTCAGCAGCAAAACTGGTGCGTTTCACCAGCAGAAATGGTAAATTTTGACCGTTCCGGGGGGTGAAATCTCTGGTTCTTGGGGACTTAGCACTTACCCGGCCTGGTAAACATACGAAAAACTATGGAAAATCACAATTTTCAATGGGTAAATCCACTATTTCTCTGGTCATTTTCAATAGCTATTTTGACATAACCAGAGGGTAACCAAGTCGACGGTATCAGGTTGTTCTTTCTTGTGAGGTGGAGGATGTGCGAGAGATGGTGGTCAGCAAATGCGGGGAGGAGCATATGTTTGTTGCCCGCAGTTGCGCTGTTGCGCTGTCCGGAAATGTCAGGAATTTCATGGTTGATATTTCTAGAATTTAATGGGCACATATCATCAGATTTGCAGATTTTAAGACATTTCCCTTGAAAAAAACAATTTGTGAATATCTGAGGGATATCTCCTACTGTCATATCCACATCATTTATAGATGACATGGGGAGTCACGCTTCAACATCCGCGAGGAGAAAGTTGCCATCGATCGGGTGAAACTACTTAAGATACCTGGCTCCAAAACCTTGCAGGTCTCGAAAGTAGGGGATGGGTTGATTTCTGCGCTTCAGAACCAAGCCATTTCAGATTCTTTTCCTGAAACTCAGTAGAAAAATTAGAAAATGGTTGCTGAAATTGAATTTTTGAAGCAACAGTAGAAAGAAACATTCCAAATTCCAACTCTGGAGGTTTGACACTGAAAAGGACAACTTTTCGTTCTGGTCCATTGCCCAGAACGACTTGACCTGTCGGAAGACACAGGGTGATCGTTTTTTTGTTGGGCCACAGCCCTCTATTCAGAAAAGTGGAAAGTGGAAAAGTGGAATCCCTATGTTTTATTGATTAAATCTTCGCTTATGTTGGTTGACGCATTTTTTTGTTGGTTTATCTCTCTTATCTTACGACAACTTACGACCCTTTTCACACCTTGGTTGCATGGGGAGGGGACTGGCTTCATCTCAACATCGGGCATCTCATTCCAAACCCATGGGTTTGAATATGTTTACAGCTTTGGTTTTCGTCAGTTTCCTATATTTTCATAGCCATAAATTGCGTAACTCCATCAATTTTTCCATACCTAATGATATATCCCCGTTATGTCTCCCAAGAAAAAAAAACGGTCAAATCTTCCATTCTCAACCATATTTCCATATGTATATATATATACACATATTTCACTGGGTGGTACATTCTATTCCCTTATATCTTCATTCCAAATATGTTTCAATCCACATTCTCAAAAACGGTAACTATTGATAAATCCCCATCATATCCTCATAAAGTCCTGATAACATATTTCTAACTCCAATTCAATATGCTTAAATTCCTCAACAAAAATCATTCATCCCATCTATTCCCATGCTGAAGTCCTACGTTTTAGGCCACCTTTCCACCCCTGAAACCCCCAGAGTTCCGTCCAAGGACGGCCGGTGGCAGCTTGATGAGCGCTTTCCTCACGCTGAGCTCCGAGGCGGAAGCGCGGCACTGCACGGCGCAGCTGAACGGTGCCAGCTTCGGGGGACAGGCGCCAGCGAAGGATGGGGATGACATCGGATGGGGAAAGTTCATGGGATACCAATGGTGATAGGTTTGTGAAGGTTGAAGGAAATTTCATGGAAATTTCAACACTTCATCAAACCTATCTAAACCCAATGGTGATACCAACTTGAGATTTTGATCTTTTTGGATTTAGATAGGTTTGTGAAGTGTTGAAATGGGTGAGACGGTGAGAATTTGTCTTGATTTTGAGATGGATAAACAATGTGTTTGATGCAATCTAGAGAAACCAGGTTGGAATCCCCCGAGTGGATTATGAGAATCCATATTTGGAAACAAACCATCATCCGACTATCGACCATGTTGGTATGACCCTTACTTGTGGATATGGCTTCAGGTTTGTACAAGCGTTGCATGCTACGTTGTTCAATCGGTATCTTTGCAATGCACTACATATGGAAGGCCTGGCACCAATCAGTAGGTAAAGGGCTTGTGATCTAGATTATACCCTCTGGTTATGACTAACATAGCGATGGAAAATCCCGTATAAATGGAGGTTTTAATGGGAAAATCATCTATAAATGGGCCATTTTCCATGGCTATGTTAAATAACCAGAGGGTACTTTTGGTTTGTCTTGGGTTTGGTTGACGCCTTCTTGTTTTCTTGGCGGATTTCTGATGTGGCATGAATCCATGAATCCAGGAATGCCTGATCCAAGTATTTCAACAATTTACTTCTAGCTTCGATATTTGAGTATAACATATTTTATGGTTAAATCAGTTATATCCCATAGAATCTTCCGCTAAAGTGGCGGACCCGCACTTAGATTCTAATCATATGAATTCTAACTGTTGATTTTGGCAAATTCTTACTGCACTCTTGCTGTATGACCGCATTTTGCGACGACCATCCTAAGTGCATAAGAAAGTATCACTTGACTCAGAGTTCTAACTGGTTGTTGCAGACATTTACTAATTCGAAGTGCTCGTCCGCCACCGTAAAGTGGTTGGTTTCCTGAGGTTTGGCACGGTGATCGCCCCAGGTGATGGCTGCGAGTCCGGCACGCAATCGCGAGGGGCTCAAGAAAGCCAAGGAGGGCCAGGTTATGAGAGCCCAGAAACGGTGGAGAGGATGAACTTCCGAAACATGGGACCATTGTTCATTAGGAGGTGTTTTTTCGAAAAAATGAACGGGGGATGGGATTAATCGCCAAGGGTTGCTGGGGATTTTCAAAAATGGTGACTGCAGGGTCGATGATGATGAACCAACTGGAATTCACCAAATGTGGAGTCAATGAACGAAGATGTGGATGTATCATGATGTAACTCTAATTATATACTATTCACAGAGAGAAATGTCCAAAACCCAATGTTCTCATTGAAATCAAAATGATCGCTTCCAAGTTGGATTTTTTATGGTCTGAGAGAACAACAGCTGTTGTGGGTGCATTTTGAGCTATGCTGGCCAAAAAACCCGATGTCAAAACCTCATTATTTATATTTTATATTTAAGCTCTTCTCAAGTTCGACATGAATATTCATTATTCATTAATATTCACTCATATTCATCATTGGTATTAATATTCTAAAATGATTCATTAATCATGTTCTCAATTGCAGGACTTCATCCATCTGAATGATGCTGCTACGAGGAGCCATGCATGTTCTTCCTTGAGGGCAAGTGCATGCGAGGCCAATCCTTTGAAGGAGATAAGATGATAGAGGATCCCCAGGTCTCTATGGGTTTCAATATCAAAATGGTCATCCATGACTTGGATGATTTGGGGGTACCCCATTTTAGGAGCAATGGGGCTTTGAAGCATCAATGAAGCATCAAACATATGGGGCTTTGAAGCATCAACAAAAATAGTGGGAAGATACTTGGAGACACCGAAAAAAAACTCAAAGTTCAAGAACCAAAACGTGACCCGCAGGCTGCGGTGGGTCATTCTGAGTTTCCCAGAGTTGTTGGAGTATGGGCCGTATGGGTTGATGGATCTTGTGATGATGTGATCCCCAGGTGACACCTGCCAATTTGCCCACGAAAAAAGTGCTTCGGAAGCGGGCAGCAGAAGGCTTCCGCCCTGCAAATTCTTTGCTTCAGGCGATCTGCTGGAGTTTGGGTCAAGTGATGTGACAAATCGATAAATCACCAGAATTTTATGGGGTTTCCGGAGGCCCCTGATGTGATGTGTTCACAGGAGGCTGTTCTCGTGGCCAAGACTGCAAATTCTCTCATGAGCCTGGCGAGGACAAGGCACTGTGCGGTCTGGCTGTTTGGTGAAGCCATAGATCCCTTCCCGCCCTGGCCAAATTCACCAGTTTAACCGACATTTCTGAATGGGTTATTCGGGATTAATGAACCAGTATTAACCATTGGTTTTGGTTATTAATATTGGTTAATCAACAACTAGGTAACGTCGTCCGTTGCGGTCCCGCTGATTTTGCTTGTTTTGACAACAAGCAACTTGCTATTTCGACAACCCCTATGGCACTTTCTCTCACCATGGATTTTGCGCCATGTTCAAATGCCTTGCGTTTTACAGCACTTTGTGTCTATTTTGTGCTATTCACAATGGGTTTTACACGTCCATGTGCAAAAGAGCGAAAAAAAAAAGCATGGAAGCCAGGACTATGTTAGGATCGTGTTGCATACATGATAGACCAGACATAGACACATACCTTGCATACTTGGACATGTACACTGATTCTTATATACATATATAAATGTAAATATATATATATATGTGACTTGACAAACACACACATGCACATATATATATATATCTACATATTCATAAATTCCAGACAATCACATCACATCACGACATGTCTTACATCACATCACAACTTCATTGCAGCCCCACCCCAGACCCAACCCCATGATCACGTGCATCGTACAAAAATGCATGAATTCCCCCGGGCCGTATTGGACGACGTCAGCAAGAACTACCCACCATGGGATCATTTATCAACCACTATTCCATGGGATAGCTCAGCTATCAAGCCATTCATCCAGGTTTGCCAGCGCCGAATGGCATCATCTTTAAATGGACATGGCACTTTGGGGGGTTATGTTTGCCTTGAATTTGCCATTAAAAAAAGCCTAAATTTGAGGGGTACCCATATTCATGGACACACTCAAATGTCATCAGAAGTTAGTGAAATCTCCATGAAATACCATCTATGTGATATATATATAATATATATATATATAACATTGATTTATCCCATTCAACTGAGATCAAATCCCGGCTGCATGAACTCGCATGGTTCATCCCATGGTTCACTCGCCATGGTTCGCCTTCGGCGCCTTGGCGTTTGCGTCGCTGTGGCGTCGCGGTGCCGCGGACGGTGGTTGTGCGGTGGGTTGGACGCTGATTGACGATGCCTGCTTCAAGGTCACGGAAGGCCAGTGATTTTTTTTTTTAACCCTCTGGTAATTTAACATAGCTATTGAAAATGGCCAGTTATAGTGGATTTTCCCATAAAAAAATGATGATTTTCCATAGCTATGTTAGTTTACCAGAGGGTAAGGGCTTCGGAGATGTGGATCATTTTTTATTTGATACAACTGGATTTTTGATGATTAGAGTGTATTAGAGTTTTGGTCTTCAATTTCCGAGGATATCATTGTTGTTGGGAAGAGCCAACTTGACAAATCGATGTATGATTAGGTTCTAGAAGCAATGCGCATTATTTGTTTGAGGGCTGCAATTTTGAGTGTGAGTTTGACTTCGGGAAGACGGTCAGTTTGGTGATGGCAGCAAGCCTTTGAGTATTCTGAAATCTGAGACAATGCAGGTAGTCTGGACATATTTTCAAGTTTGTATTCATTCAGATTCAGGGTCACTTGAACGTAGTTTCAACGGGTTTCTCGCTTGAAACGAAGTTTCATTGGTAGTTTGCAGTGGAAATGAACAGCTGAAGTTGAAGTTAGCGATGCTGGAAAACCCACATTTTTTGGTGGTCCTACCTCATTTCCCACGGTTCAACACTAATTCTGGGGTCAAATCCTAATTTTCTGCGGCTGATTCCAGTTTTTTTTTTGCAGTCCACCATTTGGAGGTTTCCTACGGAAAAAGGGCATGGGGGTTACCCCAGGACACGTTGCCCAGGCAGTCAGACTTTTACGACCAGTCTGACGACGTGCAGCTCGATGCATGCCAGTGCCACCGTGGCCACACTGGTGAACGAGGAGAGCGCCTGGAGAGTGTGGATGGTTGCGAAATCACCAAAAGGATGGTGGAAACATGTTGAAACCATATAGATAATGGGATGTAAAAGCAAGCTTTTTACCACAAAAAAAAACAAATCTGGTGGATTTCTTAACCATTCACTGTATCATTGGGATAGTTGGGAGATCTAAGTGATGTATGGGTATGGCTGTGTCAGTGGCAGAACATTGGATGACGTTAGGAGACACCCATGTGAATGCATCAATACATATATATATAATATACATATATCAATGGACATATGTGTATATATACATATAATATACACATTTATATTAATTATGAAGACTGGAAAATATGAGGATATGATATACACATAAAAATATATGGGTTTGTCTGAAAATAACTTACCCCTAAAACCAGTGGCTTAACTTCATATTCCCCTGGTAAAATAGCTACAACTTGGGGTATGCCACATTTTTGCACAAACTCATGTAAAACAGTGGCAAAAATATACATGACTAGTGACTAGTAGATATTATAGTATATATATATATGCATACCCATGAGTAGTGGGAGATAACCAATGAAGAACTACCAACAAAAGTGGGTAGCTATGCCCTTCGCCAACCGACTCGAAAGCGACTGGCCATGGTGTTGCCATCACAATCTTTGGTACTTCGAAAGTGTATCCGGTACGTCTAATAGATTAATGGTTTATCATTGTATCTTTCTACATTTTCCACTGTAGTTTTATGGGCATCCCCAATTTGTAGACAGACCCACTATCCAATATTTATTGATGCAATGGACAATCCCTGAATTAAATGGAGGTTTATAGCTGGGAAGATCATCGAAGTCAATTTTGGGATTTCCGAGCCATGTTTGATTGCCGAAGGGTCTTCAATTCCCATGATATTCCCATATATCTCAGCCATGTTGGTATCCCATAAAATCTCCACATATAAATTTTCAGGATTCTTCACCAAGATTTCCCAACAAAAAGCCAGGTCAAGTCTGCCATTCCCATGATCATTTCCCATGATGTTTGCGAGGTGCCCCCAAAAACGAGTTTGCGAAGTTGGTTTCTAACTCCAAGAACTGGTTGGTTTTATGGCACCTCAACTCTATTCATGGTGATCAATTTGTGATTTGGCTTGGTTCGTTCTCATAAAAACCATCTGGTTATGACTAACAGTTCGCCATGGTTTCAATCACCGTGCATTTTTCATAGGTAAACCCAGTTGTTCACCAAATCATAGAATTGGATGATGGGAAAATTTACAGGAAAGCCCAACCAATTTGATGGTAAAAACCATGGTTTCCGGTTAAGATTTTCCCCAACAAACCAATCCAGTGACCATCGATTTCGATTAGGGCCATGGCTTAACCATGGCTATGTTAGTCATAACCAGAAGGTCCACCCAGGGGGAACCCTCCAGGAGCAGAACCTGGCCGCCTCCCAGCTGCTGACTTCGGGCGCGTGGATTGGATGGGCGGCCGCTGGTTTTGTTTGCGAAAATGACCGAAAAACGCCAGCGGGTTTTTTTCCATGGGCTGATACCATAGAAATACCGAAATATCATAGAAATATCATATAGAAGTATGATATTTCTATGATATTTTCTATGGTGATATTTCTATGATACCAATGTTCAAAAAATACAAAGGATGTTTTTCTCAGCCGTTCAACCGGTGATGTTTTCTCCACCGCGCCCGAGGATATGGGCACTGGTGCTTGGTCCTGGGTGGATGGTTCCACGTGCCGCTATGGCAAGGGGGTGGTGGCGAATAGCGTAGCAAACAACGAGGTGTGCACCAGGTCTTCTGGGGAACGGAAAGGGAACGGAAAGGGAAGCGGCGCATGGAGGATAGCCTGGTTGGTGAATGATGAAATTGATCACGGTAAATCATGGCCAGAACGCATAAAATGATTGATGAAACTCAGTGGGGAAAAAAAGGCCATGACAGTGAGAAAAAACCAACCGTTGGTGAAGAAATCTTGGGACTTTTGCTAATTTACTGGTGATGATTGGGATGATTGGGATGATCGGGTAATGGTAATTGGGATGACGGCTGAATGGTGATTAATGGTGATAGGATAAGAGCCATAGCATTTGGAAAGCGTTTTCAAGCAACTAGTAGAGGTACCCCCTGATTTGGGGTACCCCTATTTTTTGACCCATATTCAACTGAGTCTCAAGTATAGCGCATACACAATTGGGTAGTATTGACGCATACAGACAGATACATACGTATATATATATATATACGTATGTATTATTATTATTATTGTGATTATTATTATTATTATAATATTTATTATATATATACATATATGTTGTGTGTATATATATATATAATCATGTAATATAAATAGATAGTTAATATAGTTGAAAAAAACTGGGGATCAAATTTCAGAGCTGTTGTGAGACATTGGTATTTTAATGCATGCAAAATTCCAAGTTAAGCCACAGATGCCATAGACATATGGGGATGGTTGATAATGGGCGGAATGGATCCACCCAGACTTTGGGGAAAAAAGTCACAGGAAGCCCTTTGTAGTTGATGGTAGAAACCCATAAAAGCCAAGAAAAAACACGAAAAACACCCCAAAAATCCCGTGATTTTCGGTCCAGAAAAACCCAATCAACCCAATCCCTATTTCATCCCCAGCGGCAGCTTTTTTGTTCCAGGTTGGATCCAAGCGGCAGCTGGATCCACAGTTCGTGCATCCACAGTCGTCAGGCGCTCTGTGCCTATCCTCTGCAGGTGAGGAATTGCAGCTGTGCCGCGAGGCGCTGAAAGCGCTGAAATCGCGCTGTTTGATCAGGATTTCACCATGAGAGATAGTCAGTGTACCCTCTGGTAAACTAACATAGCTATTGAACATGGCCATTTATAGTGGATTTTCCCATTAAACATGGTGATTTTCCATAGTTATGTTAGTTTACCAGAGGGTAGTCAGTGTATAACCAATGAAAATCAATGGCATATCCCATAATGATCATAATGTCATGGGATATGAAAATCCTGGGCTATGGCAGCTATGGCTGTAGTTTGAACAACATCAACCAACATGAACCGAGTACCACAAGCGTGGGGTCGTACCGCAAGGGGAATGTGGGGAAAACAATGTCATAAACCAATGATGACTGGGGGATGGTTTATGAAATTGTTTTTTCCCCACCTGCCAGGTGAGGGTTGTTAGATTTTATGTCAGTTGCCTCCTCCTCCTGCTCCTCCTGCTCCTCCTCCTCCTCCTGCTCCTCCTCCTCCTCCTCCGCCTCCTCCTGCCTCGTCCTCCTCCTCCTCGTCCTCCTTGTCATCCTTGTCGTCCTTGTCGTCCTCGTCGTCCTTGCTCAACTGCGATCCGCGATCCACAGTGTTCTCTGCCGGACCTCAACCACGACCACCCACGCCCAGTGTTCCCTGCCGGACCTCAACCACGACCACCCACGCCCAGTGTTCCCTGCCGGACCTCAACCACGACCATCCGCGCCCAGTGTTCCCTGCCGGACCTCAACCACGACCATCCGCGCCCAGTGTTCCCTGCCGGACCTCAACCGCGACCATCCGCGCCCAGTGTTCCCTGCCGGACCTCAACCGCGACCATCCGCGCCCAGTGGTCCCTGCCGGACCTCAACCACGACCATCCACGCCCAGTGTTCCCTGCCGGACCTCAACCGCGAGTATCCACGCCAAGTGTTCCCTGCCGTACCTCATGTAGGAAGATATGGGACAAAGAATGTGCAGAAGAAAGTTAGAAAGAATGTCAGAAAGAATGTCAGAAGATATGCCAGAAGATATGCCAGATAGAATGCCAGATAATATGCCAGTAGATATGCCAGATAGAATGCCAGATAGAATGCCAGAAGATTTGCCAGATAGAATGCCAGAAAATATGCCAGAAGATATGCCAGATAGATATGTCAGAAGATATGCCAGAAGATATGCCAGAAGATATGCCAGAAGATATGTCAGAATATATGCCACAAGATATGTCAGATAGAATGCCAGAAGATATGTCAGAATATATGCCAGAAGATATGCCAGATAGAATGCCAGAAGATATGTCAGATAGAGTGCCAGAAGATATGCCAGATAGAATGCCAGAAGATTTGCCAGATAGAATGCCAGAAGATATGCCAGAAGATATGCCATATCATATGCCAGAAGATATGCCAGATAGAATGCCAAATAGAATGTCAGAAGATATGTCAGATAGAATGCCAGAAGATTTGCCAGTAAGAAAATGTATAAATGTCATGGTGGGGATCACACGAAGTAAAGTAATTACCCACATTATCCTCATGCTTTGTTGGGTTTTGCCATAGAAGACTTGGTTTTCCATCATGAAACCATGCGGATTTTGGCTGGCTTTCCCATCGATTGGTCATGCTTTTCCTTATCATTCCTGCATGAAGGGGGTGCATCGCACTCAGCAAGATATACCATTCATTATTGAATATCCCTAGTGCCAGTTATGTATGTATGTATGTACGTATGTATGTATGTAGGTAGGTAGGTAGGTATGTAGGTATGTATGTATGTAGGTATGTAGGTATGTAGGTATGTAGGTATGTAGGTATGTAGGTATGTAGGTATGTAGGTATGTAGGTATATATATGTATATATATATACACATTTGTTTTATAAAAATCGTTCCATCTGAATCAAAACCCCACTGAACTAGATTTGTCTCGAAAAAATCGGCTACTCTCCCAGCAATTTCATGTTTTTTTCGCCTCATTTCCCATGGTTTCCCCTTCGCAAGACTGACCTGGCCAGGTACGAAGTCCTGGAGGGTTACTGTGAACCCAACAGCTTCACTGACACTTTGTGCTCGGCGTCTTCCTCCGTGCCAGCACAGGCGCCCGTTGCCGATCGGTGGTTTGCTTCAGAATCTATCTACTGGGGTTAGGTTCAACATAGCGATTGGTTGTCATTAAAAAGTTGGGAGTTTGATCAAGTTATGACGAACTTACCGAGCTTATTGGGGATTAGGGTTGAACTCACCCATATTAGGAAAGCGTTGAAACAACCAGTATTTCATGAGACTGGACTTGGTGCGTCACCCCAACTGGGCGACGCACACCCCAGTTATCGGTCGGGTAGGATTGGTCCACTGTGAATTGGGCTAACCCACATACTAACTGGGGCCACCAAGTATACACGGTCTATAAATGTGATTTTATATGGTTCATAATATCGAAAAGATAGTTCTGAGTTGATCAGAACTGTATCATCAAACATTTGCGCAGGGAAAAACTATGAGCAGTAACAAAAATCCAGTTGGTTAATGATTAGTTCGCGGGTTTTGCTACCCTTTATATATATATATATGGGACGGTCACCCGTGAAATGGGAATGGGTCTGTCCAAAAAGCAGGGATATCTCGAAAGAAATGACAATCAACCAATCACAAGCGGCGCATGGCAAGCGTCAAAAATCCCATGTTGTTGGTTGTCTCTCATTAAATCCCCAGCTATAAACCTCCAATTCACTAGCGATTTCACTATTTTTTAAATTTTTAACCACCTTTTCCCACCATTTCCAGGTCAATTCTGAATTTCCCATGGCCTTTGAATCCCCTTATGATTGGGTGTACCACCATGAAATCCCCATGGAACCAACCGTGCCCGCGGACAGGCACCCACTTGCGTGGGCGACTTTGCACCCAACGACCTGCCTGGCTACGGCGATTGGAGCCGTGAAACTGGCTTCGCGTATCTCCATCCTGATAGCTGTGATGAGGACATGGTGGCATTGGTCTACGTGGCTGTAGTAAATTTGTGCAGTACGTGCAGGATGGGGCCCCCCAGTTATGTTTGTTGGTTTATAAACATGACATAGTTGATTCATGAATTGTATCAAGTGTTTTCGAATTTCTGCCAATACCAGCCAAGGCTGGACACAAGCTGGTTAGAGGGTAGCATGACACAAATAGATGGCACTATTTAACACTAGCTTAACCCATTAGTCTTTGGAGGATACTAGCTTGCTGGTCACACTTTTTGAGTTCGGGTCCTTTCTCTCTCTCTCTCTCTTTTTCTGTCTTTGAAACTAAACTCCATACAGAACGATCAGATGTTGCTTGTAGTTTTTGTTTAAATCTTACAGCCGGTTTGTCATTTACCATTCATGAAAGAAACAGTCTCTGTGTCATACCATCTAAGGCTGGCATTTTGGAGTCCCTTTTGGCGGGTATTTGATATTAGGGAGATGGGAATGTGTACATGTGTATGTGTGTATGTATGTAATGTAATGTAATGTAATGGTATGTAATGGTATGTAATGGTATGTAATGGTATGTAATGGTATGTAATGGTATGTAATGGTATGTAATGGTATGTTAATGGTATGTAATGGTGTGTTTGGTGGTATGTAATATGTGTGTAATGGCTATTATTTTATTTCTGTATGTATAATGGTTGTTAATTGTGTGGCATGTAATGCATGTTAATGCTGTGTGGCATGTAATGCATGTAATGCATGTAATGGCATGTAATTGCATAATTTTGTAATGCATGTAATGCATGTAATGCATAATGCATGTGTGCATGTGTGTGGTAATGCATAATGGGCATGTAATGCATGTAATAATGTTGCATGCATGTGTAATGGTAATGCATAATGCATGTAATGGCATTAATGGCATGTAATGGCATGTAATGTTAATCATTAATGGCAATTTGTAATTGGTTAATGGTTGGTATGTTGTTATTGTGTGGGTGTGTGTAAGTGTAATGTATGTAAATTTGTGTAATTGTATGTATGTATGTATGTATGTATGTATGTATGTATGTATGTATGTATGTATGTATGTATGTATGTATGTATGTATGTATGTATGTATGTATGTATTCGTCACCTCACCATACCATGATACCATGGTGAACACACGAAAGTAGTTGTTGTTGGGGTTTTGGATTTCTTAGTGTGAATCATGAAACTCTGCCCACCCCACTGAGCATAGTCACTTTCAGATTACCTCTGGTGGCATGGGGAGTTGTTGCCATTTGGCCATGGATGAGTCACCCAGCAACCAATTTCGTTCCGAGAGTCGTGAAAAATATATGCAAACGAGATATTAACTCATGGCAAACGCTGAGGGTGAAGTGGGATTTTTCATCTATTTATATCTATATCTATATCCATATCTATATGTATATATATATATAACATCTGAAGTTCTTTTAACCCAAGAGTCTTGGGGATGAACCAAATTCAGCCCCATTGGATGGTGAAGCTTCTCAACGGCCACACATGTGGTTCCATTTGTTAAAAAAGTTAGGGTCAAAAGAAACATGTGTCATAGATTATGTGAGAGAGAGAGAGAGAGATATATATATACATACACAGATGGGAAGAAATTGAAGAATTGACATATATATACATATATATATATATACATCATGTTTCTAAAAACCCAAGTCCTGAATGGTTTCAGATCCTCCAAATGACTTTCGCCGGCGAGGAGTGCGTGCAGTGGCGCTGCGACGTTGATCCTGCATGCCAGGAGTCAGATTTCCCCAAATTGTGGCAATTTTTCGTCGGATTTTGTGGGTAGGGTATACAAAAAGATGTGGAACCAAAGCATGACATTTTCTGGGTATGTTGGGGTATACAAGTATATAGATATGTGGAACAAACCATGGTTTCCCGTTCGGAACATGATCTACATTCATGGTGGGTCTTCCACATCACTTTGTTTAAGAATTGGTGATCCCCGAAGCCCTGTGCTGGTGGTTTGACTCCGATTTTTTCATCCTTACCGAGGATCATCAGTGTATCCTCCTCAAAACAAATATGGATCAAAAATTTTTTTGGAGGAAATATGGATTGAGGAAGTGATGTCCAACCCATAAACAATCTGGTTTAGACAGTGATTTTTGAGCTTCAAACCCATAAACTAGACGATGACATGGGGAATTTGAGGCTTCCGAACTGTGAGGACATAGCGACAAAGCAGATTGTCGTTGAAAAAATGAGTTTTCGAATATCCCCACTTACCATGGACCTTTTCATCAACCAACTTCACTTCAGCACAAAAAACTGGAAACATGATTTTTCGAGAGTCTTTGCAGAAATTTGGTTACCGGTCTATAGAGATGTTCAAGAAAAGATTCTATGCATTCATAATATACACCGCCACTCACCAAAACAGGTCCCTCTTTGCCACATCGTCCCCAGTCATTTTGGGGCCTTTCCATTGCAGGTGGCGAAACAAATCCAGACGCTATCCCTATCTTGGTGAAATAAAAAGTGTCAATTTTTCTGTCCTGCAACCAACTTCTTATTGATTCAGATCTCCATTTTTCATTGGTTTATCCCGATTTATCAGTTCATCCCCATTTCTTTTCTTAGGTCTATCCCCGTGTTTAAGGTAAGAAACCCAGCTATCAGATCAGCCAATTTTCCGGTACAGCAGTCTCCAAAACGACAGTTGAAATCAGGTGAAGGCCATCCATTAAATCCAGGAAACATCTGGGTAATCCACAACCCATTTACAGTATATACTGTACTTAACCATTCTAGTAAAGCAAGAGTCAACCATCACCACATTTACTGGTGGTATAAACCATCAACCCATATATGGGTGGCCTATGACATTGCTTTAAGCAACATGTTTTGTTTTGATTCGTATAGAGAATTTTCAGATAGATAATTGTTTAGCAACATAAACATCCATCTATACTTCGTAGATATTTTTCTCGATTTGGGATTTTCTCAAGGCATAGCTGGAATCCCGGTTTGTCATCATCCCATCTCGACGTCGGAGGGCTATACCTGGGCCCTGAACGCCATCAATGGCAAGTCAGCTGCCTCGCTGAAAAGCAGCATCAGTGGCAGCAATCCGTGGTCAGGTGCATAGCATCGGCATCGGGGGCGGGCTGATTCTTTGGCTCAAATGGATTCAAGTGGGAGATGTAGCCAATGTAGCCCCAAAAAAAGAATCTCAATAAGATGGAGAAACTGAGCCAGACTGCTAAAATTGCTGGGCAAATTGAGAATCCAGGTCGTGCCCATTGACACATCAGCTGATCTGTCAGGATACCAGTGCAAGGTCAAGACCACCGCTTGCTTAAGCGACGAGCAGGCTGGTGAAATCAAGTTGGCATGGGCAATGGGGATGGATCATGATGGATCACTGTCCATGTTTTTTTTTTGAAGATCGACAACTAGCAGCTTCTTCGTAAATATGGCAGTTGTGCATCTAAGGATGTCTAAGGCGACATGGAATCCGCCAAGTATCTGTAGAATCTATAGGCTACCTTTATCCATTTTTCATGATGCACAAACGCCAGGGCTTGACACATACCGTCACATACCGTCACCGATGGATCCGCTGGGAAAGGAGCCTCCACGGGACGACAAAGTCAGATCATGTTTTTGTCGAAATTCATGTGATATCCATGTTATAATTGGAAAATCACATGGTATCATGGATAATCACAATAGATAATCATAGTCACATCATATAGTTATTGGATCTTACCATGATTATCCATCAGGGGTAGATCGCAGCCATTTTTGTTTGATACTTAGATACTTATCACCAATACTCAGTTATATCATGTGAGCAGTGCGATCTACCCCTGTTGTTTGATTCTTAAAAAAGGGTCGTACTATCCAATAGATTGGGGATGATCACAATCCATGATGAGAAATTCGTTGTTCACCAGCCATCTTGTGGGTCAGCCTTTCAAGTGACACCGCTGCAGATTCCCGCGAGCGACAGCATGGGCCAAGTGCAAAAGGCTGGAAGTACGCAGTGACAGGGGAGAAATCCGAGATAATGGTGCGTGAACCATGGATGAACCATGGAAACATCATTAAACATGTTTTTTTTTTTACGTGGGGAAACATGAGGATCTACAGGGAAGAACGCATCAAACGTGGTGCACATGGATATATGTGACACATTAGAGTTATATGATCTACCACGACGGCGTTCATCCGACGTTGACTTCGACAATGATTTCCCAAAATTTCACCGACCAATGGGGTTCTGGTTCCATGGAAATAACTCCCCAGAAAGCATGGCGTTTTTTCCAGGACGTCATAGATGCCAAGGAGCTTGACCCCCCAAAAAGTGAAATCAGGGAATCCAGATTTTGGTCAGATCCTTCGGATGCCGAAACGCTTCCTCAGGCGACCTTGGTCCTGCTTTTCGGCATTGGTGCGTTGACCATCACAAGATGGCCCAACCATGTGGTATTATATGGAACTATTTAAGTGGCTAAATACTTTTCATAGCTGCACATTTGTCTGCCACTGAGCCAGTGACATTGAGCAAAGATGATGCAGACTGGACGGCAGTTGGCAGCAGGATGCTTCCTCGCTACCTCTGGATGGAGTTGAAGCTAATGAATCACTGGTGCGCAAAACCCGCACGCAAAGACTGCGTGCGGGGCAACCGCATGCTGGTTGCAGTGCTGGTGACAAGAAATGCCTTGGCAAAAATGTTGTATCCCAGATGGATGTTGCGTTGCTGGGTGCTGATGTGGGTGTGTCCAGAAAAGGAAGACCTGGCAAACCCAAAGCTACCATAGTTTTTCTTGTTTTCAGAATTACTCGGGGCTGCCTCAGGGCTTAGTAATTTGGTGCAAATTTGTCCATCTTCGCAGGCTAAGCCGAATGACGGCTAACTGGGAGGGCTGCCCCCAAAATAGTAACAACTGGCACCCTCTATTGATAAACCGAGGGTTTGTGAATCCTAGGGTAACATGACCAAGTTGGTTGCCATATCCAAAAATCCATTGCTTGTTCCACCGCTACCAGGCGGAGGCTTCAGATGAGATGTCTTCTGCAGCCATGGTGAAGCCGATCAGAAAGGAACCACCAAAGGAGGAAAGCACAGCGAAAGGATCGAAAGGATCGAAAGGATCGAAAGGATCGAAAGGATCGAAAGGTGGGACGTTGGAGGCTAAGGTGAAGCCATCCGAAATGCAAGTTTCAGAACTGGCAGAAGTGGAAGAGGAAGCCTGGAACAAACCCAAGCAGAGCAAAAAGGTGAAAGTGAAGTCTGAAGAAGCAGCACCAGCAGTTTCAGTCAGCAAGCCGAAGGCAAAGAAGGCATCCGAAGCTCCTGATCCTCCTGTTGCGAAAAAGAAAAGGCGTAAGGAGATCAAGGAGGATTCAGTCGATACCGTTCCCACTGTTACCAAGAAGAAGCTCTCCAAAAAGATCAAAAAGGCGCCAGAGGAACAGAAGGACCCGCCCATTAAGGCAGGGTGAGTTCTTCAATTTTTGGGTCGATTTGAAAAAGCTTGCGCTGGGCATTTTAAGATTGATTCTACTCCAGAAACTCTAACAGATGGCAGTCCTGCTCTAGGTGAAGCGAAAAAAGAAAGGCACAGAGGCCACGAAAGCCCCGGAAGTCTCCAAGATCAAAGTGAAGGCTGGGCAAATAGCTATGTCTCAAAACTAGGTACTGAATATTAAATTTATTAAAGGGTTTATCATGCCATTTCCATTTGAATCGTCATTTTTTGATCTCCGGAAATCTCTTGCTATGCCAATTATGCCCAGTGGACCGAGGCCAAAAAGCGGAAAGCGCCCGGAAGTTGAAGCCCCGACAGCGCCGTGGACGATGCCCTGGACCGCCGACGGCGTGGCACTGCGATCACCGGAGAAATTCGACGGAGAAGTTCCGCGAGATGACGAAAGATCGAAAGATGGCTGAAACATGGATAACATGGTCTCTGCAAAAAAGATGACTCTGGTTTTATGAAGCATTGCCCGGCCGCGTGGTTTTGGGGTGGGAAGCATGTCGAAGGGAAGAACTTTTATTCAGTTAAGTCATGTTTTTACATGGTGATACATTTCTCCTCTATTTCATGAGCGGAAGGGTTTGGACTTGTGTAGGATGTGCTGATTCTATTTTGCCCACCGTGCAGGATGGAACACAAGATGGGTGTGGGGTCCTGTCGCAACACTGATGTGCTTTGAGCAGAGGTGTGCTGAAGCTGAAAAAAATTGGAAAACCGCAACCTTCACAAAAATCACCGACTGCGACGGTTTGAGGATGGCGCGAAATCGAGTGATGTTGAACGTCTACGACGTCGCCCCGGCACGTGTTGAACATCGCACATCTCAACGTCTCCAGTGGCCCACCGGTGATGCGGCCGTAGCAGGTGTCAAGACGTGAGGCTGTGAGGGTGATGAACGCTGCCGCTGAGCCCAGAGATGATGTGACAGGATTGAAGACATGCAAGGGGATAGAATGAATATAATGAACGATATATATATATACATGATATATATATATACATACATACATGATATATATATATATGATATGAGATATTTATAGTTATATATATATATATCTTATACATATCATATGTAATATTATATACATGAAACACTATATATACACATATTATAACATGAAAACCAATGATCCACCGCAATCCACCACATTCCAAAGTGAATATGATGATAGTGATGATAACTATCATTTCAAGTTGGATACTTCACCAGTGCCGTTTCCCAGGTGCTGGCACATTGGCTCGCACCTGTCCGGGACTTGCTTCACTTGGTGGGTGAGAGATGAAGACTGGGCTGTTGAGACCATAGCTTTCGTATTGGCTAATACCACAATATGATGTACCACTCTCTCTCTCTCTCTCAATCATGTACCACTCTCTCTCTCTCTCATATCTATCTATCTATCTATCAATCTATCTATCTATCTATCTATCTATATCTATCTATATCTACCTATATCTACCTATATCTATATCTATCTATATCTCTCTATATCTATCTATATCTATCTATATCTGTCTATATCTATCTATTCCTATCTATCTATTCCTATCTATCTATTCCTATCTATCTATTCTTATCTATCTATTCCTATCTATCTATTCTTATCTATCTATTCTTATCTATCGATTCTTATCTATCGATTCTTATCTATCGATTCTTATCTATCGATTCTTATCTATCGGTTCTTATCTATCGGTTCTTATCTATCGATTCTTATCTATCGATTCTTATCTAGCGATTCTTATCTATCGATTCTTATCTATCGATTCTTATCCATCGATTCTTATCTATCGATTCTTATCTATCGATTCTTATCTATCGATTCTTATCTATCGATTCTTATCTATCGATTCTTCTCTATCGATTCTTCTCTATCGATTCTTATCTATCGATTCTTATCTATCGATTCTTATCTATCGATTCTTATCTATCTATCTATCTATCAATCTATCTATCTATCTATCTAACTAACTAACTAATCTAATCTAATCTATCTATCTATCTATCTATCGATCTATCGATTCTTATCTATCGATTCTTACCTATCGATTCTTATCTATCGATCTATCGATTCTTATCTATCTATCTATCGATTCTTATCTATCTATCTATCGATTCTTATCTATCTATCTATCGATTCTTATCTATCTATCTATCGATTCTTATCTATCTATCTATCGATTCTTATCTATCTATCTATCGATTCTTATCTATCTATCTATCGATTCTTATCTATCTATCTATCGATTCTTATCTATCTATCTATCGATTCTTATCTATCTATCTATCGATTCTTATCTATCTATCGATTCTTATCTATCTATCTATCTATCTATCTATCTATCGATTCTTATCTATCTATCTATCGATTCTTATCTATCTATCTATCTATCTAATCTAATCTAAATCTAATCTAATCTAATCTAATCTAATCTATCTATCTATTCCTATCTATCTATCTATCTATCTATCTATTCCTATCTATCTAT